TAGATAGATAGATAGATAGATAGATAGATAGATAGATAGATAGATAGATAGATAGATAGATAGATAGATAGATAGATAGATAGATAGATAGATAATTATTTTTTAAATCTTATATATGGTAAATGGACTGTACTTATATAACGCTTTATTATCTTATCAATATACTCAAAGCACTTTACAACACAATATGTACCCTCATTTACACATTCATACAGCACTCTGCTAGATCTGTACAGAGAATAATCAGAGCTTTATCACATTCAGACACTGATGGGACACACATTGGAGGCAATGAGGGGTTCAGTGTCTTGCCCAGGGACACTTTGACATGTGGAGTGACAGCCAAACTTTTTTAAGATTATGTTGATTTTATGCAAAAATCATTTTTCTTAGCTTTTTTACAAAAAGCTATGAGTTAATTTGTGTATCTGATGTACGGCTGCGGCAGGCTTGCTGTACCCTGACTTATTAACTAACTAACATTGGTTTCTTATGTTACAACAATGTTACTTAATTAAAAAAAAAAGATAATGACAAATAAAAAGTACCATTCTGTGCAAAACACGTGGCTACTTTAAACAAACAAACAAAAAAAAACTGGTGTCTGTATTTATCCAGATCTTCCGGTTTTGTGTAGATTCATTTTAAAACAAAATGCACGTAAAACATCTGAAGCTGGCTCGCTAGTATTTTAGTAAAAGCTAATTGTTACTAAACAAAGATTTTAAGTTTAAGCTTCAAACTATCAATTTTAAACACAGATTTAAAATCATAAGGATATGAAACATCTGATTTTAACAGTGACTGTTCTTGTGGGTGTCTGTGCATCAACAAAATTCCTACAAATATGTTATCATCTTTATTATAGCTATAATATTGTTATTATTATAGATATAATATTATTATAGCTATAATATTGTTATTATTATAGCTATAATGTTGTTATTATTATAGCTACATATAATGTTGTTATTATTATAACTGTAATATTGTTATTATTATACATATAATGATATTGTAATAGCTATAATGTTATTGTTATAACTATAATGTTATTATTATAGCTATAACTATAATGTTATTATTATATATATAATTTTATTATTATAGCTATAATATAGTTATTATTATAGCTATAATGTTGTTATTATTATAGCTATAGTGTTTTATTATTATAGCTATAGTGTTGTTATTATTGTAGCTATAATATTGTTTTTATTGTAGCTATAATATTATTATTAATGCAATATGTGATAATTAGGCAACAATAATAATAATTACATTTCTGCTTTTTAAACAAAACACTTATGATACATTAAAAAGTATAGTTTTTACACATCTAAATTGTGTGTGGGGGCAGGAGGGTTATTGCTCAAGGTTGTTATTTGGTCAGAATGTCAAACCAACCCTTGCCTTTTTTAAACTGTATTCTAAATAACTTGTGCAAAGATGATAAAATACATTTTACACCTGCAGCTGATAGATATGCACTAAACAAAATGCACACAGTAGAAGTTCATAAAACGGATTTGACAAACTAGCCACATAGGAATTGGTTCATCATATTAAATATCAGATAAATAAAGGTGTTTAATCACATTTGATCCTGTAAATCCAATACTACCAGAAAGCAGTTGTGCTCATTGATTTTCAGCTTTGCCAGCAATGACCTAATACAGTCACAGATATCGAAGGGATAAACCACCTTAGTGTAGTAAACACAGCCAAACCTCTCTTGGGCTTCTGTGTGTGTACTCTGTATTATATGCTGTCTGATTAATGTGTGCAGGAAGTTAAACTTTCATATCATCAAAAACAGGTGAAGTAATACTAATAAGTGGGTGTTGGTTTGTGTTAATAAGTCAGAGTTTGTAGTGAAAGCTGTTTATACTCGAGCAGACATTACTTTCCTCTGTGTGGTGATTTAAAGAGCAGCTCTTGTTCCTTCAGCCTCTCGGGCTGTTTTATTCACTAACTGTTTCACTTTGTAAAATTAATAGAATATCTGTTTTCTTTGAACCCCGGCTTTACAGAATCTAGATTGGTGTGTATGGCCGTCAACACACAGAGGCGAGCATCACAATCCACTTGTGTTCATGAGTCTCAAACCATCTTGTCTCTGTCTTTGTGGTCAAAAGAGGGGTTAAGCTTTTATCCTATAAATACGGCATGAAAATCCCTCTGTCAACCACACGTTCATTCTAAGGCCTGCATTAACATAAAAATGGGGGCTTGTTATACAGTGAGATTTCAATAAAAAGAACACAAAATGCGTTTAATGAAATTCAGATGCTGGGCCTTAGCTCCCTGGATCTCATTAAATGAGCTTTGTGCTGTTTTTCCATCTCCTCTTTGTAGAGGAGGTCCTTGAGTGCCCTTAATAATGTGGCAGATTTCATCATATCCCTGATTTAAAGAGGACAATGTCTGCCTCATTCTCTTGTTCTCTTGCGAACCGGAGCCAATCTCTCCACAGATGTCCTCGAATAGTTTCTGAGTCTGGCTCGTGATGACGCTCCATCTTGTGGTGCGTTTTCTTTTACTTGCTGAAGTTTTGTTCCTCCACTAACTTGCTCCTCTTCCCTGTTTTGTCCCCTCCTCATCCCCCGTCCCTCTCCGTTTCTCCCTACGTAGGATTTGGTTTCATAACGTTTGAGAGTGAAGACATCGTAGAGAAAGTCTGTGAAATTCATTTTCATGAAATCAATAACAAAATGGTAAGTCCACACACTTTTTTTTAATATATTTTTCAATTCCAGGTGGACGCTGAAGGATTAATATTTGATTTGTTCTTTTCCGTCCATTAATAGCTGACCATGTGTGTGTAGTGTGTGTGTGGGTATAACGCCCGCACGCTCGTTCACTTTGTGGGTCTGTGGGTCTCGGGGATGGGATGGGAAAGCGGTGGTGTGTACTGACCACAAACCGTGAAATTGTGTGGCTGAATTCTGCCTGTCAGGGCTGAGGGACAGGAGAGTGGAGCTCCTCCTGAATCCCCTGCCACACACTCACTTTAACACACTCACAGGTGGAGATGTCCACGAGTGCAGGGGGGAAGCTACTGGCAGAGGCCGAGTTCATTAGTCAGGGATTAGCACCTTCCACTGAGTGCCAGTGACGCCAGTTTTATTTACACCGCTTCCCCGGTCCTTTCAGAGCGCCACAGAGTTTAGATGCAGTTTTTGAAGTTGTCATGCGACGTGTGATTAATTGACAAGGTCCGCCCTCGGTGTGGCGAGTGTGACATCAGGGCCCTCCTTCACCCACTTCCACACTGCAGGCCTCTTGAGAAATCCTGCATCATTTGAACAGCTTTGTGGGTTGTGATTGACTGGAGGGAATACTTGTCTCGAATGTTCGGTGGGGCTCCTTCGCTCTCACTCCCAGATTTATATTCCTTTGCCCCTGAAACTGACTGACTCTCTGAATGACACTGTAGGAAAATAATTTCCTCCTGGGACCAGTGCAGGTCACATATGACTCCCAGTATGCATCCCATCAAGCTGCTTTACATGCAGTGCTTACAGCTAAACCCAACAAAAACGGTGACAGGTTTAAGTATCTTCACATGTAACATATTATGTCACAACATACAGAGAAAGCTCAGTGAGAACAAAGTCTTACAGGCACTGTTCAGAAAAAAAAACTTTTACTGTACTTATTTGTGAATGTTAACGGTACAAATTTAATTAAAAGTTTAAAAATTATTTCTGTGTAATTATCTCATGTTACAACATGAACACCTGCGGCTTATATATGTACAAAATAGTTTTTTCTTTTTAAATTAAGTGGGCACGGCTTATACTCAGGTGTGCTCTATCCATCCATCCATTATCTTTACCCGTTTATTCCATTTTGGGTCACTGGGGTCGCTGGTGCCCATGTCCAGCAATCACTGTGCGAGGGGCGGGGTACACCCTGGACGGGTCGCAAGTCCATCACAGGGCCACATAGAGACAAACGAGACAAACAACCATTCACTCTCTCACTCACACCTAGGGACAATTTAGAGTTACCAATCAGCCTAACATGCATGTTTTTGGTCCGTGGGAGGAAACCGGAGCACCCGGAGAAAACCCACGCATGCACGGAGAGAACATGCAAACTCCACCCAGAAAGGCCCCTGGACCGGGGTTTGAACCAGGGACCTTCTCGCTGAGAGGCAGCAGCTCTACCAATTGCGCCACCGTGCTGCCCAGGTGTGCTCTATAGTCCAGAAATTACAGTATTTGATAATAAAGCTGGACTATTAACAGAATGAATTACGAGGCTGAATATGCTTATTAAAAAGTTTAATAATACTAGAAATCATAGAACAGCTTATCTTTTTCTGTACGGTCCTGCTTCCTGGATAGATGAGTTGTAAAATTTGAATCAAAACAGAAAGCAATTACTTTTTTTTATATATATATACCTGTGTGTGTGTGTATATATATATATATATATATATATATATATATATAATCTTTTATTTACACTGACAATAACTTTTATTGCAAAAAAAGAAGCCTAAATCTAAGAAAATAGTTCACATATAATGTGTAACCAGACAAAGAATTAAAAAGTTATCAACAAAAACAAAAAGAAACTAGGGTGCATGAAGACCATTTAATTTCTCACTTTTCTTAGAATAAAATTGTAATTTTTGGTTTTGTTTTGCTTAAACACATTTTTACCATTCTCAGATTATCCAAATATGTCCTTCCCATTATCTCTACTACAAAGTAATTTATTAAATGGGACTGTGTAAGTATGTTGCTAAATGTTAAATACAAAATTTATGAAGTGTCTTTGGCTGATAAAATATTGATAAAATAAATAAGAAAAATTGTCACTGTTTTGAAACGACTACTTAAGATTCAAGAACTGATCAAATTTTAAAAAGCAATAACTCTTAATAACTAATTTTAACACCAGAAATAACTAGTTTGCTGATATAATTAGCTGGCCTGATTGGAGCTGAAAACAGAAACTAACGTTTTTAGTTCGAGGAAATGGCAGCAAATGTCACCAAAAAAACCAAACAAATGTGATGTATCAAACAAAATTAGACACATAAAACCTCCTGATTTATATTTATCAGTTTTGGAGACATCCACGGTCAGCTGAGAGGCGAGTTCAGTCAGTCTACTGCTCCCTGTCCAGCTGCTAAAAACATCTGCTCAAGTGGATTTTAACTCACAAATGGTGTTGCTGTGATGCCAACACGAAAACCCTCAAGAATGTTTGGCATTTGCTATTCCACATGTACATGCACAATATATTCATGTCACATAGAGGTTCTTTTTCTCAGCCCAAGTGAGGGGATTAAAAAAATAGGTCACTGGATCCAGGAACACAGGAGGAGTACACTTACTGTTTTAGATTTGTATTATTGTGTGAATGTTTATGAAGCATTCACTCTGTTGTGATCCATTTTTCTTCCGTACGTTTTGCGGCGTGATTCTCGACCCGCAGTTTTCAATCTATTTCAACAAATCATATCAAAACATTCGGCTCTTTCAGGACAATCCTGCTATGACATTTTGTATTGGTGCAACTTTAGCTTTTTGAGATAATTAGCCTTTTCTATCATTTTTTTCCTCATAGAAAATGAATTGAGCTCATTTTACATCCTTCACATCTTTAGATCTGTTTACAACCTTTTACTGCTCCTCACACATTTTGTTCTGCTTCGGCATCTTTCAGCTTCCTTGTGCAAATTTAAACATTTTCTGCTAATTTCAGCTAATTTCAGCTGTTTTGTGCTCGTTTCAGATTCTTTCTGCTAACCACAACATGTTTATGCTTCTTCTAACTTCTTTCTGCTGATTTCAGCTCGATACGCTCCTTTCAGCTGATTTCTGAGAGTTTTAGCTTTTTCTACCATTTCAGCTACTATTTAGCTGTTTTATACTATTTTAACTCTTTTCAGCTAATTCCACATTATTTGCATTCATGTCAACGTTTTTAGTCCAATTCAGCAAAAATGTGCTCTCTCCACTTCCTTCTGGTAATTTCAGCTTCTTTCTGCTTTTTTAGCTACTTTTCAGCTGGTTTTTCTTGCTAATTTCAGCTTTTTTTCTGATAATTTCTTTTTTTTTTTTGTGCTCATTTCTGCTTCTTTCAACCTAATTGGGCAAACATGTTTTCTCTGCTTTTTTCTGCTAATTCAAGCTTGTTCTACCTTTTCAGCTAACATTTTAGCTAATTTCAGCTGCTTTCAAATAAATTTCGTTTTTGGGTGATAATTTCAGCTACTTTCAGCTTAATTAACTTCTTTACGCTAATGTCAGCTTGTTTATGCTCCTTTCAACTTATTTTTGTTGGTTTAAGCTTTTTTTGCTATTTCAGCTACTATTTAACTGTTTTTTTTTGTTTGTTTGTTTATTTTATTTATTTATTTTTGCTAAATTTAGCCTTTTTATCTAATTCCATATTCTTGGAGCTCATTTCAGCTAATTCTTCTTCCTGCTAGTAATTTAAGCTTATTTCTGCCTTTTCCAGTACTTTCAGTTATTTTTTTTTGCCAATTTCAGCTTTTTTAGCTAATTTCCAAATTTTTGGCTCATTTCTACTTATTTAAACCTAATTCGGCAAATATGTGTTCTTTCTGCTGTCTTATGCTTAATTAGGCTTGTTCATACATTTCAGCTATATTTCAGCATGTTTTAGCTAATTTCAGCTATTTTTCAGCAAGTTCTTCAGAAAGAAACATTCACCCTGCATTTTCGCAGGAAATTCAATTTCTCTAGTTTGATTTTCACCTCCAGGATTTTGGATTTGACAACAGTTTTATACCAAAGTAGCTGTTTGATCTACACCAGCTAAAGTTACCGTCAGTAAGTTAAAGTTTGCTATGTGAAAAGGAAAATCTGCAACTGGTAGGGAAGGGAGAGTTCTAGTTTCTTGCACTTTTGACCGCATGTAGCTGTGATTTGATCCACTGTGCAAATGCACACGGGTATCTGCTGCATGACTGGAAAAGCACCAATCCTAGCCTCTACATGTATTTACTCTTTACAAAGAGCAGCACAAATGGAAAGGTTGTGAGCCATCAAGGAGTCCAAGGAATCCTCGCAGAACATATGAGAATTACTGTGCACGTATGGTGTGAAAAGAAAAGGGAGATGTTAGTTTCCTGATGCTTTTATCACCTTTGTGGAGTCCCTCTTGGCAACACCTACAGCATCTTAAATGCTTTAGGAAACAGGAAATGAATGTGACCCTCGGATCTTCTACAAGGTGTTGACATCTGGGAATATCTGAAAAGGGGAAATAAATTGTATGTTTAAAGCATCTTTTTAAGGCACAGAGGTGTGTTAACATCGTCACACGTACATGAAGGAAATGACTGGATTTTCAGTTTCTAAAAGAGCATCAAGTAAAAAATGTCTCCTGTCTTCATCCTTATGAAGCACCATACAGAAATAGACCTCATCCATCCTGCCCACGAGTGTTATCTCAGATGGTTCGTGAATAATTGATGTGGACAGAAATTCCATCCCACTTGGGAAGGTTGTGGACGTATAGGACACCCCACCTTCTTCTTGCCCTTCAGCAGCTCCGGCTGTGTTGTGGGTCAGTGCCCACTCAGATGTGAGCGGTTGAACCTTTAAGCGTCTTGGTGCCATTAAGGCCTCACGTTCAGGAGCATGTCGTCTTTGTCACTGTGAATTCTGACTCATATATAATTTAGCAAAGAGTGAAAATCTCATAATTTACCATCAGCAGCTGA